GATGTGATTTATGAAGCTTCTGGGCTACTTTTAAGAATACTGTATCGGGTACCCTATATACTCTGGTCGAGTGACCTCCAAACATTTGATCACCCTTTCTCATATATTCTTAAGCTCAATTTAGATAAATGAGTGTCACAAATACACGAAGATTTTAGAGAGAGGCACTCTCTTCCATCTCTAAGCCCCCTGCCCTTTGGCGTCCACAACCCTCTAATGGCAGCGGCGGCCGCCAATCCGCCACCATCCCCTCCCCCGCTCGAGCCCTCTCCCATACTCCCAGCTATTACGTCAGCAGTCTCAAGGCAGGAAGATGCAGAGCAACAGGTACAACCGGCCAGCTCCAAACACCACAACCTCACCTATGCAGCCTCTATATTATCTTCCTCTCAGCTCTCATCACCGTCTCTCCTCAGTAACGCAGCCAATAATCCCAGTAACCCAAACCCTCGCACCTCTCTTCCTCCACCCATCAAGCAGGCCTCTTATTGTGACACCCTCTCCGAACCGAAATTCAGCCCTGTTGCACTCAAGAAGGCCTCTTCTCCCAATGGTTTGCCAGCAGTGTTTTTCTCAGAGGATGAGGTCTCCCTCTTGTCGGACAGGCCATCCTATTCGCTCATTGGCTCGTTTCTGCATGGGATGCCAAAACTGACGGTTGTTAGAGAATTCCTCCGGGCATCAGGTTTCAAAGGACAACACAGCATTGCATATCTAGCCTACAAACACATTCTTATTCGGTTTCAAAGAGAAGAGGACCTCCTAATGTGCTGGCTATGGCAGACAAAGATCATAAAGGGCATGAAAATGTGCATCATCAAATGGACGCCCACCTTCACATCAGGTATTGAGTCTCCTATAACCCCTACTTGGCTTATTTTTCCTAGGCTACCACTGCACCTCCAGGACCGAAGAGCCCTTCTGTCTATAGCCAACCTCATCGGTAAACCGCTACTTATTGACCCCGCCACCCACACGCTTGCCAAACCTTCAGCGGCAAGATTATGCGTTGAATTAGACGTAACCTCTGCTAGGCCGGACCGTATCTGGATTCATCATGGTTCAGCAGGTTTTGTACAAGAGGTAATCTATGAATTTATCTCTTACTACTATTTATCTTGCAACCTGCTCGGTCATCGTAGTTGTTGTAAAGGAAAAAACAAGACCAATGAAGCCCCTCAAATTGAGCCCAACCCCATCCCAAAAAAATCTTCGCCGGATTCCCTCCCGCCTGCTAGTGCACCAGCTTTGGACCAAGCCTCGGCCTCACTCACCCTCCAAATCCACCAGGCAGTTTCAGACGTACTGATAGCTTCCCAAGCACCCTCTACCACTCATTCAGTAGACAACTTATCCCAATCCCTGGTCACCTCTACTGCAGACCCTACCCACCAGCCTGTCAAGACCCTATCTCCCAATACGGCTCCAGACATACAACCCCCCACCCCTATTATCTCTACTGTACCCTCACTGGATTCTGACCCTACAAAACACTCCTCTCTTCAGCCAGTCACCAATGACACCTCCCCTTACCCTCCCATTACAACGATTCCAGTCACAGAACCCCCCACCCTTATTATCACTTTTGTACCCTCTCTGGATATGGACCCTACTCCAGCACATTCCACTCTTTAGTCAATCACCTCTGAGACTTTTCCTAACCCTTCCATTCCAACGATTCCTATCAAAAAAAAAACCCACACCTAATACTTCACCCATTCACTCTTTGGAACTTGACCCCACTCCAACTGACCTCACCCTCTCCCCAGAACCACCCATTGAACCTACCCTCTCCTTAGATGATCTTCTCTTCAAAGAAGGGACCCTGTTGCGGGTCACCCTGGAAGATGGTAATGGGTCTGACGGCGACTACAGTGACCTAGGGGATTTAGATTGGACTTCTGTTTCTACCACTTTATCCAAGAAAATTAAAAAAGCATCCAAATACAAACCACTTGTCGACTCTCTCGTCCAGACAGCATCCGAGAAGAAAACCAAGGTGGTTTACTCCAGGAACACCTCTCCTATTACAACCAGATCCCAGAGGGCCAGAGAGGCCGAAGGTCATCAACTTTTTTTAATGATTTTTCTTAATTGGAATTGTTGTGGGCTATTATCCTCCTATACGAGACTTCATAGTCTGGTTCTCCAATGAAAAGTTAATCTCGCCACTATCATTGAACCTAAGGTCCTCCTCTCATCAGCCGAATACTACAAAAAACTTATTACGCTTCACACATGTTTACACCAAACAGGACAATAAAATATGGATTATGTGGAATGAGGATGCAATGACTGTAAATTCTATTACTGAATTTAACCAATTCATACACACAAGTATTTTGGACAAACAAACTAGGATCCGATTTTGGCATGCTAGTGTGTATGCAGAGCACTCCAAAGAGGAGCGGGTGGGACTTTGGAATGAACTACGTCGATGGAAAGATGGAAACCATGAACCCTATCATTGGGGTGATTTTAATGTCATTGCCTCGCTATCCGAGCACCATGGTAAATCTTCACCCAAACTTTCAGAAATTTCAGATTTCACAGTGTGTTTAGCTCAATGCAAACTCAATGACAAACAGTTCATGGGGATTAAATTTACCTAGACTGGGGTTCGTTCTACTGGCAGGCTGTGGAGGAGACTGGATAGGTACCTAGCTAATGACCTATTTACAAACTTCTATGACACAGTGATTGAGCACCACCTAAGTCGGGCCTCTTCTGATCACACCCCCTTACTTCTCTCATGTGACACCTCTAAAACAACAGGGCCTAAACCGTTCCGGTTCCAAAACATGTGGACCTCTCACCACAGATTTCTGGAAATGGTGGAAACCTGTTGGAATTATCACCCGTCGGGAGGAGGAATGCGTTACTTTTACCACAAACTACAGAAATTAAAATCCACCCTGAAAGAGTGGAACCGTGTCACTTTTGGGAACATTTTTGAAGCCGTCAAGCAGGCTGTACTACAAGCCTTCCAAATGGAGGAGGCTTTTTTACTGGACCCTAACACACACACCAGGGCTCTTTTGTTTAAATCCCAGGCGGAACTTCTACTTAAACTGAAACAGGAAGAACAATTTTGGAAACAAAGGGCTAGAATCAAGTGGCTAGTCGAAGGGGAGGCCAACACTAAATTCTATCACAACTATGTCCACCAAAAAAGGGAAAAATCCTCTATTTCGTACATAGAGGATGAAAGCGGGAAAAACTAAACTGACCAAACTGCCATTGCAGGTGCGACAGTCACCCACTTCTTCGACCTCTACAGTGTTGTCTCAGGAACACCATCTAATATGGATGATCTCCTACAACACTTGCAACCTTGTGTTACAGAGGAGGACAACCACTTTCTAATATCAATGCCAACTACACAGGAGATCAAAGATACAGTTTGGGCCCTGAACCAAGATAGCAGCCCTGAGCTGGACGGTTTTAACGGACATTTCTATCGCTATTGCTTGCAAGTTTTTGAGAAAGATATGCTTACTGTTGTCCAGGAATTTTTTCTGGGTGTACCTATGCCCACTGCCCTATCATGCTCCCTTATTACCTTGATTCCCAAAATTCCTAATCCTAAGTGCTTCACTCACTTTCGCCCCATTAGCCTGACTAATTTCATTAGTAAAGTTTGCTCCAAAATTATCACAACGTGCCTAAAAGCTATTCTACCAAAAAAAATATCAAAGGAGCAAATCGGTTTCATGGAGGAGAAGACATCCACCACCACATTTTGCTAGCTAACGAGATCCTCCACCACCTAGACAAACCGGTCAGGGGAGGGAATATTGATGTCAAGCTCGACTTATCTCAAGCCTTCAACAGGGTATCTTGGGCCTTCTTGGAGGCATCACTGCTAAAGTTGGGCTTTGACAGGAAATTTTCCCAACTGATTATGTCCAACTTGGCCTCCACGAATATATCCGTTTTGATAAACGGAATTCCTCACGACTTCTTTAAGCCGCGAAGGGGGGTCAAACAGAGGGGACCCCTATCCCCCTACCTGTTTTTAATAGCTACAGAGAGTTTTTCAAAAGCTTTACAGAGTAGATTCGATAACAACTCAATTCTACCCTATTTCATAGCCAACAATTCGAGCCCAGTTTCCCAGCTTGGTTACGCTGACGATATCATCCTCTTTTTGAATGGCTCGGCTTCATCGATCCGGAACCTCCAAGAATTTCTATGGTTGTTCACCAGCGCATCAGGGCAGCTTATAAACTACAATAAAAGCACAGTCCTGGTCAGCAAGAAGATGCACCTGGGAAGGAAACATTGGCTTAGTAAGGAAACCGAGATGAAAGTTACCAACCTTCCCTTGTCATATTTGGGGGCTGTGCTGCATCAAGGGACTACCAGACCGGCGCATTGCACCAATATCCTAAGAGCCGTTGAAAACAAATTGCAGCAGATATTCTAGACTAGGTACTATGATTTCTAAAACTAAAGACTCTCCTACCTGGAAGCAGCTCTGTAAAACAGCACAAAACTACCCGTCTCTCATCCTCTCTGTCAACGACAAACCCTGGTGGTCAATTGAAGAAATGGCCAATTTTCTCTAAAGAGCGTCTATCACCACTCCAGGACCCATCTGCCAACCACCTTCTCCTACTCTCAACACTGGGAAGCCCGTATACAATTGAAAATTAAAATCATTGTTTGTAAATATCTGAACGGATCCCTACCCTTCCCAGACAACCTTACCCGCTTAAATTTCAATCTTGTTACTAGGTGCCCATTCTGCCACAACAACTCAGACTCCCAAAACCATGCCTTATTCAGCTGCCCACTAATCAGACCTATTTGGAGGTTATTCTCTTCTAGTTTGCAGGTCAGGAACGCACACCAAGATGATTTAAGACAAACACTTTTTATATGGTGGATGGGGAGGAAATCAAACAACATCATCACTACTCTACGTCATGCAATGCCAGGAATAATCATGTGGCACATTTGGAAAACATACAATTCATGCATTTGGAATGGCAAACCTTTCTCAAGTCTCAACATCATATCTGAAATCAAAAGCTACACACGAATCTGGTGCTATTCAAACATTCACAAAAAATTCTACAGCTTCGATGCGGAACTGCACACAGATGGTCTCATGTCATACATTAAACACACACAAAAAATCAAGGGACAAATCAAGTGGAAATCAGACGCACCTACAACCCTCATACTCAACACTGACGCAGCATTCCAGAATGGAGTAGGGGTGGGACACGCCATTCCACGGAACTCTGAGGGCGATCTGCTCCAGGCCTTCGGCTTCCCGCTACAGGCAACCAACCCCCCTTCAAGCAGAGATCCTAGCAATGGACACCTCAGTACAGATCATCAAAAACAAGGGTTATAAACAGTTCCAAGTTCAAAATGACTCAACAGTTTGCGTTCAAATGACTGGAGGTACCATTAAAGTCCCGAGTTATCTGAAGGAACCGATCAACAGACTGCGAAAGGCGAGGGTTTACTCCAAGTTGACCTTTCTGCAACGACCTCGTCAGACAAACGTCGTGGCCCATTTCATCGCTCAATCTAGCATCAACACCTCGTCAATAAGCTTCTACACTCAAAGCATCCTTCCTTCCAGAGCAAAATGAACCTTCTTCATCGACAAAAAGGGCGAAAGCCTCTTCAGAGATTCCGGTTAATCTCGACTCTAGGGTTCGGGTCTCAAAGCCTCTATCCAGCGGCGATGATTGTAGAATTAGGGTAGGCCAACTCTCTTTTTGGACGATTATGTTTGGCGCAAGAAAATATTGCCATCTTTTGGACTGGCGCTGCTTCCCCAATATTGGGCTGCCCTATTCGGGCTTTGTCCAATTTTATTTTTAGGGGACTAGCCCAGCTCGCCTCTATCTCTAGATCATGTAACGATTTGTAATCTACGCTACTTCTTCCATAATAAATTTAGTAAATGGCCCCGACATTTACCGCACCATAAATGGTGTATTTTTTCGGGTTAAAAAAAGTTAGATAAATGTTTTCTTTATATTTATTTCATGTTTAGTCTCCAAATAAGGAGTTAAACTCTTTCATTTTAGTTTTGCCACATTGAAGTTGATGTTTTGTAAGTTGTGAGTTATTTTGTTTAATCATCTTCTCTTGAATATTAATTGCATCCCTTGTTATATTCCATATTAATATTTGAGCATTACTAAATGATCAACTAGTTTATGTTGTCATATTAATTATTACTAGATGGATGTTCTATATTAACTAGATATTGAGTATTATCAAAGAACACGCCCCGTTAATAACTACTACCCTCAATGAATTGGAAACACTCCACGAATGAGTATTCGAGATGAGATAGTTAAATATATAATTGGGATCGACGAGCATTTCACTAAGTAAAAATTAGCGACACCAATTGTCCATCTCTATTTAACTTATTCACATCAGGCGTTCATCTTAGTGTTTAAATATTTTTAAGTCAAACAATCTTAAAACCCTTCTTTTGGTTACAATTTCATAAAAAATAAATTGGGAGAACTCTCAAATAAGCCATCGGACTTTCATAAAAAGTGCAAATAAGCCCTTTTGCAGGAGGCTTTGTCCGGCTGTCGCCATTTGGGGTGGTTTCCGATGGAATTTTTTATGCAATATTTTTAAAATCTTCTTCATTAAGTCTAGTATACCCATACCAAATATCAGCTAATAATTCAATCGAGAAGGCAGTCAAATGATTTTCTGAAGTATACTGCGCTGCCTAACTGTGCAGTTATCTTCCAAAATTCATTTGACTGTCTTTCCGATTGAATCGTTAGCTGAAATTTGGTTTGAGTAAACTAGACGTAATGAAGAAGATGCAAAAAACAATTCATCAAAAAATTCTACCGGAAATTGCCCCAAATGGTGGCGGACGGACAGAGCCTCCTATAAAAGTGCTTATTTGCACTTTTTATGAAAGTTCAAGGGCTTATTTGGTAGTTCTCCCAAAGAAATTTACCTTTCTCCGTGGAATAGTCTTTATATCCCCCCCCCCCCCCCTTTTGTCTCGGAGCAAACCACCCTTGGTGGAGGAAGTGTCGGGGAGCACTTTCCAAATTTATTTATAAAAGTTTAAAGATACAAGGAATTTAAAGATACATGAGTTGGAAGAAAAGATACATAGAAAATAGAGATATACTAGCAATTGAAATTTCTAGTTAGAATTCCAAGTGTAGCTGATGTATTCTTGTTGTATTTGTTATGGAACCTAATCACATTCTTCAGATATGGATGATAAGTTTTGACGTCCGGATGTGTAGCTCTATATTTCTTTAGAGCTGCTTCTAATTTGTATGGTGAGTCAAATCTCGCATCTACTGGGTATAAGAAGTAGTCGGTTTCATCTCCGGGTTTCTTGGAGTGACTTCTAGTAACCATGGGTGGGAAGAGTATCCCATCTCATAGTATAGTTGAGGGTCCTCTCGAATCGATTTATTGGCATTGCTTTTGCTTTTGCTTTTCCTTTTTCTCACCTCCACGAATCCATGAGGCCCTTCCTCACTGCTTCCCGGTTTACCTGAGTGGTCCTCAGATTGAGTATCATCATTTGGACAATTTTGTGGTTAGTGTAGTATCAAGTTCTGCTTCCGGTGGATCAGAATTAAATTCACCATCTCCGTTCGTAATGGTGTATTCTCAGGGAATGTGAGCATCAATGGGGTCCAATATAGTCTAATGAACTACACCAGTGGTTACGGTCTTTTTAGAGGTAGCCACCGGGTGTCCATTAGAGTCAACCATAGTTTCCAAACTTTGCAAGCAGCCTGGAGTTGCTCCTAGATCCGAACAGTAAGGGACTGAGGCAGTATATTCTCCAGGGACAACACAATTTGAAGGGACAGTTTCTTCATCGGTGGTTATAAAACCAGAATCAAGATGGTCAGGAACAGAATTGGCATAAATTTCAAGGACAGAATCACCTCCAGGACAAGCCTTAGTTGCTATATAACCATCTTCAAAATGGGTACCAAAGCATTCAGATTGATGATCAATTCACTACAAGAAAAAGAGCTATTTGCTGCGGTTATTTTTAGCTATTTGCTGCGGTTTTGAACCGCACCAATTGGCAGAACAACAAATTGTATGAAAAAGTATTTGTTGCGGTTTTGAACCGCAGCAAATAGCTATTAAAAAAACGAATTTTGACTTATTGTTGCGGTTCAAAACCGCAGCAAATAGCTTTTTAAAAAAACCCAGTTTTTTGACTTATTGTTGCGGTTCAGAACCGCAACAACTAGTTATTGTGCTTCTGAACCGCAACAAATTCTTTGTAAAAGTAAAACATGCATGATATTTTTATTTATTTTATGATTCGTTTCTTTGGAAGGTTATATTATGATTATTTACTTTCTTTTATTAGCAACCTTACGTTCATTTTCTTCAAGTGTATCATTGTATTATTACTTTATTAGTAAAAGTAAAATTTGAAATTAACTTGTAACTCTTATTCATGTGCCGTAACTTTATTTCTTACATTTGCTCATATTTAATTATCAAAAGCAATCATGTCCATGTTTGTTAAAGAATGAATTATATTTATGGTAAGATAATAATTAAATGCTACGTAGTAATTTTCAAGACACTCGAAATTCCAATATACTTTTATGTAGTCAACATATACTTTTATGGTAAGCAATCATGGTGAGATCTGAAGCCAAATATACCGAGCATTAGAGCATCTTCAATGTTATAATGTGCACAGTGCATATGTGGAATGAGAAATAGTCACATAAATATAAGCAAATAAATTATCTCTCTGCTTATTTATATGATTTTATACAATTTTGGTAAGTTTTTCTTTGCAATGTCAATCGCAATGTCAATATTTAGATATTCTTATTGACATTGTGGAGAAAAACTTACCAAAATTTTATACAATCATTCAAATAAGGAGAGAAAAAAATTATTTACTAATATTTATGTAGCTATCTCTCATGCCACATGTAAACCGTGCACATTGTAGCATTGGAGATGCTCTTAGTAATCAACATATACTTTTATGGCTCATTAATTACATTAGCTACGTAGTAATTTTCAAGACACTCGAAATTCCAATTTTGCCCTTTATTTGGACGGGATTTTTCTATCCAATTGTGATGCAAAAACTGTTACTTTATATTTTATAAAGATTTTCCAAGGCAAATCCGTCAACTTTTTTTGCCCAATTATGCCCATGGTTAATGTGTCTTGCTGCGTTTTTTGCTGCATGTTTTGTACTAATCAAGAAATTGATTATGATTAAATGTTCTTCACAACACACAAGTTCATATGAAAGCAAACTAAAAGTACACTAGGTGTTTGACAATATGTCAAAGTTATAACAATGTGCTTGCCTTGAAGTGCACTTTTTAAATCTAACACATACTTTTTCACTTCTCTTAAAGGTTGACTTTCACCTGGGCTTAGAATATAATGATAGATGTGTGTTCTTTTCAAGGTCATGTTTAGGAATGTCAATTTACTGTGCTTAAATAAATTGGGAAGGAAAGTGAAATATGATTCATCTTTCTGATTCTTTTAAATGCATTTCAGACTTTCGGTTAAAGAAAAATAAATCTCTGTTAGTATTTTCCCGTTTTAAACACGTACCGCTTTTTTGAACAAAAAAGCACGTTTAAAACGAAAAGTAATGCCGGTCCGTTTAAAAAGGAAAAAACTCCTACATCCCGTATAAAACGTATTTTTCCCGTATTTTACTAAAAATAGAAACATGATCAATTGAATGAACGCATTAAATGCATAGGAGATCAACAATAGTGTAAAAGCAAAAAAAAAACTCTTCTCCATGTGCTCGTGTTTTTGTATTGTTACAATACAATTATTAAATACTAAAATTAATTGCATAGCAGCTAAATCTAGCATCCCGTATTTTAGAAAAAATAAAAAAATGAATTGATCAATTAAATGGACGCATTAAATGAATAGGAGATCGACAATAGTTTACAAGCAAAAAAGAAATGCTCCTCTATATATGTGTCCACATGTTTTTGTATTGTTAAAATAATACAATTGTTAAATATTAATATTAATTGCATTCTAAAAGACTAAAACTTAAAATACTCTTAGATTTTTGATGTTTTACCAAACAAGAATGTCAAAATTAAAGTTTTTCTAAACCTGACATTTTTTAGTATAAACTTTTACACACAAACAATAATAAGCGCGTGTAGAAGTTCCAAAAATATGACGGACGTTCCAAAGCCCAAAGGTCACCCGTCTCTCACGCGGATCTCACCAGCAATTCTCCTCAACTGGACTCAGCACTAATTGCCGCTGCAGAGTGCACACCGCATCGCTGCCACAGACTGCATCGCCACCGCAAACCGCATCGCCACCGCCAACGTCATCATCGCCCACCATAGTCGCGCCCTTTCCTCCGTCATCCCCTTCCCCATCGATTTTTTTCTTCTCCCCTTTTGGTCCGGTGAGTGGGGAGGCGGATGGGAAGTGAATCTGAGTCATTGTCGCCTGTATCGATCCTAGGTATCCAGATTTGAACAGTGTCTGCGCGAATTTAGGGTTTGACTGGGGGAGGGCGAGGCAGATGAAAGAAAAATGTGGCAGGCGAACGGGCTCGGGTAGCGGGGGAGTGGTTGTGGTTTGGACAGGGACGACGGTCGGAAATCAAGCCTGCGGGTGAGGGAGTTGCAGGGGAGGAGATGTGCAGTAGGGATGGTCGGAACATGATGGAGGGGGTTGCAGGCTGCTGTGAGGGGTGGGGTTGCGAGTGGTGGAGAGGGTGAATAG